TAAATGCAATAGAAATTAGAAATACAATAGAAAAGATCAATGGTACTAATAGCTGGTGTTTTGAAAGATAAAATTGAGAAACCTTTATTTAGCTGGACTTACCAAGAAAAATAGAGAGGACTTATAATCAGAAAGAAAAGATGTTCCAACTGGTACCTCAGAAATTGATTTGTAAGAGATTAGTATCAACAGTTTTATGCCAAGAAATTAGACAATTTAGAACAAAAGGATAAATTCCTAGAAATATACAGTCTTCCAAGACTGAATCATGCAGAAATGGAAAACCTGAGTAGATTACTAGCAAGGAGAATCACTAATCAAACACCTCACAACAGCCCTTACTGGTGTGGCTCAGTTGGTTGGGTGTCATCTGGCAAAGCGAAAGGGCACATACCCAGGTTGTGGGTTCAGTCCCTGATCAGGGCACATACAAGAGGCAACTGACCAATGTATCTCTCTCACATCAGTGTTTCCCCACCTATCTTTCTCCCTCCATTCCCCTCTCCCTAAAAAATAAAAATCTTTTCAAAAACCCTCCCAACAAACAAAAGTCCAGGACCAGACGGCTTCCCTAGTGAATTCTACCAAACATTTAAGAAAGAATTAATACAAATCCTTCTCAAACTCTTCCAAAAAATAGAAGAGGAAGGAATACTTCCAGTCACATTTTACAATACCAGCATTACCCTGATACTAAAGCCAGACAAGGATGCTACAAGAAAATAAAATTACAGACCAATGTCCCAGAAGAACACAGATGCAAAAATCCTCAACAAAAGATGAGCAAACTGAGTTCAACAATACAGTAAAAGTATAATACACCATGATCAATTAGAATTCATTCCAGGGATTCAAGTTTGGTTCAACATATGCAAATCAGTGAGTGTGATACACCACATTAATAAAATGAGGGATTAAAACCATATGCTCATTTCAATAAATGAAGGAAAAGCATCTGACAATTCAACATCCATTTATGATAAAAACTCTCAACAAAGAGGGTATAGAGGGAATGTACCTCAGCATAGTGGCCATGTGTGATATATGGCCTACAGCTAACATATACTCAATGATGTATAACTGAAAGCTTTTCTTCTAAGGTCTGGAACAAGGCAAAGATGTCCCCTCTCTCCACTTTAATCCCACATAGTTCTGGAAGTCCTAGCTAGGACAGTTAGTCAAAAGAAGGAAGTAAAAGGTATCTAAATTGGAAAGGAAGAAGTAAAACTGTCACTATTCACAGATGACATATTATTTATAGAAAATTCTGAATACTCTGCCAAATACTGTTAGAATAAATGAATTTAGTAAATATGCAGCATACAAAATCAATATATAAAAATCTGTTGCATTTCTACACACTAATAAATATCAGAAAGAGAAATTAAGAAACAATCCTATTTACAACGGTATCAGAAAGCATAAAATACCCAGGAATAAATTTAACCAAGGAGGTGAGAGACCTGGACACTCTGAGACATTAATGAAAGAAATAGAAGCAAACACAAATAAAATGAAAGATTTCATGCTCATGGATTGGAAGAAATAACATTAAAATGTCCATACTACCCAAAACAATCTACAAATTCAATGTAATCCTTATCAAAATTGGAATTTTTCACAGAAATAGGACAGGCCTAAAATTTGTGTGAAACCACAAAAGATGCTAAATAGTCAAAGAAGTCTTGAGAAAGAAGGACAAGGCTGGAGGCACACACTCCCTGATTTCAAATTATAGTAGCATTGTAACCAAAACAGTACAGTAATTACAGAAGAATTAACTCAAAATGGATTAAAAACTTGAGTATAATATCTGAAACAATAAAATACATAGAAGAAACATGGGCAATAAACTTACAAACCTTGGTCTCAGAAGGTGTTTTGTGAACTCGGTCCCAAAGACAAGGGAAGTAAAAGCAAAAATAAATAAATGGGACTACATCAAACTAAAACATTCCTGCATCACACACACACACACACACACACACACACACACACACATCAACAAAACAAAAAGGTGACCAATTAAATGGAAGAAAATATTTGCAAACTATACACCTGATAAGGGGCTAGTATCCAAAATCTATAAAGAACTCATGCAGCTCAACAAAAATAAACAACTGAATTTAAAAAATGGGGAGAGGACCTGAATACTTTCCCAAGAAGACATACAGATGGCTAACAGAGATATGGAAAGATGTTCAACTTCACTAACTATAAGTGAAATGCAAATCAAAACTACATAGGGCAACACTTTGTACCTGTTAGAATGGCTATTACTAATAAAACAAGAAATAACAAGTGTTGGGAGGATGTGGAGGAAGGGATCCCTCCTTCACTGCTGGTGGGAATGTAAAGTGGTACTGGCTCAATGGAAAACAGTATGGAGGTACGTACTTCAAAAAATTAAGAATAGAGCTACCATGTGATACAAAAATCCCTCTTTTGAGTATCTACTTGAAAACACTTATTTGTAAAGATATTTGTACCCTATGGTCATTATTCACAATAGCCAAGACATAGAAACAACCTAAGTATCCTTTGACTGATGGTTTGATAAAGAAGATGTGGTACAAATACACAAGAGAATACTACTCAGCTGTTAGGAAGATGAAATATTGCCATTTGCAACAATATGAATGGATCTTGAGTATCATGCTAAGTCAAATAAGTTGGACAAGAACTGTGTGATTTCACTCATGTGTCATATGCAAAACAAAAAAAACAAACCAAACTCATCAGTACAGACAACAGTATGGTAGTTACTGGAGGGGAAGGGAGGTGGAGGGAAGATGAAGAGGATAAAGGGGGTCAAATATATAGTGACAGAAGGAGACCAGACTTGGGTGGTGAGTACAAAATGAAATATACAGATGACAAATTATAAAGTTGAACACCTGAAACTTAGATAATGTTATTAACCAATATTACCCCAATAAATTTAATTAAAAAGTAATTTTAAAAAATCAGTATGCTATCGGCATAAACAGACACATAGATCAATGTAACAGAATAGAAAGCCCAGAAATAAGCCCACAAATATGTGGTTGATTAGTTTATGACAAAGGAGACAGGAATATACAATGGAGAAAGGGCAGTCTTTTCAATAAATAGTGCGGGGGAAATGGGACAGCCATGTGCAAAATGAAACTGGACCACTATTCTACACCATACCCAAAAATTAACTCAAAATGGATTAAAGACTTGAACATAAGACCTGAACCATATAAAACTCCTAGACGAAAAAATAGGTAGTAAGCTCCTTCATGATGGTCTTGGTGATGATTTTATGTAGTTGACACCAGAAGCAAAGGCAACAGAACCAAAAACAAACAAGCGGGACTATATCAAACCAAAAAGAAGCTTCTTAGAAGCACAGCAGAGGAAATTATCAACAAATGAAAAGGCAACTTACTGAATAGGAGAAAATATTAGCAAAACATATATGTGATAAGGGGTTTATATCCAAATTATATAAAGAACTCAGATCAATAACAAAAAGCAAATGATCCCATTGACAAATGGACAAAGGCTCTGAATAGACATTTTTTTCAAAAAAAAAACATATAGACAGCCAGCAGGTACATGAAAAAGTGCTCAACATCACTAATCGTCATGGAAATGAAGATCAGAACCATAATGAGGCATCACCTTACACTTGTTAGAATGGCTACTAAAAAGACAAATAAGTGTTGGCAAGGATTTAGAGAAAAGGGACCTCTGATATAATGTTGGTGGGAATGTAAACTGATACAGCCACTTTGGAAAATAGTAGGGAGGTTTCTCAAAAAATTAGAAGGAGAACCACCATATGATCCAGCAATTCAACTGCTAGATATTTACCCAAAGAAAATGAAAACATTGACTCAGAAAGATATGTGCTCCCCCTGTTCACTGAAACATTATTTACAGTAGCCAAGACATGGAGACAACCTAAGTGTCCATCTGTGGACGAATGGATTTTTAAAATGGTGATTCTTGTATACATAATGGAATATTATTCAGCCATTAAAAAAGAATGACATCTTGTCATTTGTGAAAACATTGGTGGATCTTGAAGGCATTATGTTAAGTAAGATAAGTCAGGGAAAAGCAACATGTGATCTCAGATGTGGAATCTTAAAAAAATAAAGCAAAATAAAAGACAAGCTCGCATATTGGTAGTTGCTAGAGTGAAGGAGGTCAAAAGGTACAAACTTCCAGTAATGAAACAAATGGTGACTATGGTTAGTAATGCTACATTACATATTTTTAAATTGCTAAGAGAGATCTTAAAAGTCTCATCACAAGAAAAAAAATATTTGTAACTATATAGTGACAGAGGCTAGCTAGACTTATTATGATCATTTCAAAATGTATAAAAATATCAAATCATTATGTTGTATACCTAAAACAAATATATCAATTATGCATCAATAAAAGAGATAGTAAACTCCATGAAGTATACAAGAAGCCAGATTGATAATTGGTTGTTCATGCCATTATCTCAAATAAATTAATTTGCTTATTATTGAACTTTAGTCATACAAAGTACATGATCAACCCTTTCACATAAAGTGGAAAACTTAATAATTCTGCATGCTGAGCAGACTAGCTGGCCAGCTATGCCCCCCTTGCATGGAGAGGAATCACCACGGAATGTACAAACAATGCCATCCAAGAACACTTACTATTTACTTTTTCCTTTGGTTACCTTGGTCTTCAAAAAAAAGTCTAGATTAGAGTATTTAGAATCATTTCAGGTTATTTTTAGATTATGAATTTAAAGGAGAAGAATCAACTTAAAAAGAAAACAAACTTAAAGGGTAAGAATTCATAGTATTGTGGCTAAATAAAAAAAGATCATTAGAACCATCTTATTTTCACCAACTGACTACCATCTTTTGCCTCTTTAATTCTGAGAAGACCGTCTATCTCCTAAGAGTCTTCTGGTTGATCAGTTTTATGATATCTAATCCAGAAAAGAAAGAGCTCATCGATGGTTTTGCTTTCCCTTTTAGGCAAAGGAAGAAACCTCCAAGCCAAAAGCTGATAAAGAAAATACGAGTTAAAGTTCCCACTATTTGGTAAGTTGGGTGTAGTTGTAAGTGAAGGTACCCATACCTTCTGACAACCTATGTGTTACAGGCCAGATAAACTAAGTCTACTTCTTGAGTATTTCATGTTCTCTTTATACTATTGGCATGAAATGCACATTGCAAAATCTATAGAGTAATTCCCTGAAAAGCACTGAATGGGAAAATTGTGCTATTGGAGTGTTAAAAACCATTAATCTTATAATTAAGGGTTCTTCAAAATATTAGGCCACAGGCTTAAAGAAAATGACCACCTAAATTTAGTTGACTCTTTGAAACCCAAATGCTCATGAATGTAGGTTACCGCTGCAAAGCAAAATTCGCATGTTGTGTTACCTCTTCTAGTGAAATGCCCTTATGTTATTGATACCCACACGTGGTAGGTGGGGAGAAGTACCTCTTAGGGTCTGGTGGAAATTACAGGGTTTTTGGAACCAAGGGTAAAGAAAGAGATTGACCACTTTTGTTCATCTTAGTTTGGGAAAATAAAATACTATGTTTGATTCTACTAATGTAACTTAGGAGCTTGTATAAATGAAGACATCACTGAGATCTATCTTGAGACATGAGCCTTTAACTTATTAACTTCAGAAAGAAGAGGCCTTGTTCTAAGCCATAAAAGATACCCTGGCTGGTGTAGCTTGGTGGACTGAGCACGGGCCTGTGAGCCAAAGGGTTACTTGTTCGATTCCTAGTCAGGGCACATTCCTGTTGCAGGCCAGGTCCCCAGTAGGGGGTGTGCGAGAGGCAACCACACATTGATTTTTATCTCCCTCTCTTTCTCCTTTCCTTCCCCTTTTCTCTAAAAATAAATGAATAAATTCTTTTTTTAAAAAAGGTAAGATTTCCTTCTTTAAAAAAAAAAACAACTTACAACTGCTTGCAAATCAAAGCCTAAAGGAAATAAAAATGTAGGTTAAATTGGGCTCTCACCATGGTCCACTTTTGTTCCCTGGAAAGAGGGAGGTATACTGATTAGAACTCTTAAGATTTTCCCCCAAACTAAAAAAAAAAAAATTCTATTAATTATCCACTCTGATATTTACTTATAGGAAGTTCCTTCTGATCTGTTATACAATGATGTTTGCTAAATATTACATTTACCATGCCTTGTAACAACAACAACAAAAATTGCATACCAATGTCATTCACTGGATTTCTTTTTCTTTGAATTTTTCAAGGTATCTACATATAAAATCTTCAGCTGGTGAATGGTGACTTCTGAAGAACAAAAGGCTTTGACAATGAATTTTTTCTGAGTGACTTCTAGACAGTGGAATTTGTTGAGGTTTTTTGTTGTTGGGTTTTTTTTTTTTTTGACATCCTAAATATCGGTTTCTTATTCCTTTCCCAGAAAGAAATTGAATGTCTGGTTCATATGTGTTATTGTACGGAGTATTGATAAACTTTGAATTTTTAAAAATTGCCTTGAGTTGGGAGAGAAAGGAACTTTATATTTCTAAGAGATATATTTGATAGTTTCTTAAAGCAACAGACACCCCCAAAAGGAAAAACCTTTGCAAACTTTGCACATTTTACACACAGTGCCTGTAAATCTCAGTATTTTTGGTTTGCACATAATTTTTTGTTGCTGTTGTTAGCATTTGGAAAACAACAACTTAAACATTCTTTGGTGTTCTGATTCCTCATTGCCCCTTTTCTCTTGGGCTTTTGAACTGTATTTGACGTTTCTTTGGATTAATGTTTATAAGTCTGATATAAAAAATTGTGCATTGGACACATATCTCCTCTTGGGCTGATATAAATTAATTATACCTATAAATTAATAGGTAACCTGGGCAGACCAGGAAGCACCACACTCCTTTTCAGGTTAAACTCTTCTTTGCCAGAGGTTAGGGTTTCTGCACCTTATAGCCAACACAAAACATGCTGAGACTTGAATCAAGTCAGAAGAGCAAGATATAGACTCTCTGTCACTGCATAGCACGTTCCAAGAATAATAAAGTCTACTTCTTAGATTATTCATATGGCTTGAACTCGGTTGGTTTACTGTTAAGCTGTGCCTTCCTCTCACTCTATATACAACCTTAGCAGCAATTGTTTGCTAGGGCAATTGCAACTCGAGTCTTTGCACTGTATAGCCTTTGGCTTTATGGAAGTTAGGTTTACCAAATACAAAGCTGAACTTCTGCTTAAAAAATAAATCTGCAATTTAAAAATTTGCTTCCTGGCCCAAAAGCAACTTAAGAACTAGGCTCTGATGTCCTACATCTCTGAGTGGTTTCTTAAATATTTCTGAATGAACTGTTTATGAACATCACACTGATGTCATTGATGAGATTTTGATAAATATTTAATTTGATCTTCTCAATAGTGAATGAAGGAAAAGATATCAGGTACACATCATAAACTGATTTGGAATTTCTTCTTTCAGAGAGCACAGCCTTCCTTAGCATCTCTTTAGAGGTTTTATTTATTAGGGCTTAGCTGACTTTACTAAATATAATATCGGAAATACTGTTTAATGGGGAGGGACAAGCAAAAATAATACTGCTTATAATGGTCATCAGACTTTGTTAATACTTTCTACAAATCCTCTTTAAAAATCATGCAGAGACCTACAGGATTTCAGACTTCACCCATGTTAAGTGCTGTGCTGTCCCACCAGAGATGAGGCATTTTTCTATTATTCTAAGTTTGGGACATCCAAGCCAGTGCTTTGGCGACTAGACAGACCTTTTTGAGCACTGACAAGAAAACAAAACAAAACACAAATTTCCTGCGGAATTTTAATTATGTATCTAATTCTTCCATTTGGGTAGTGTGAAGTGATAAAAAAGATAAAATATTGGACATGGACAGATTTTTTTGCAAGGATATGGCTGCAGTATTACTGACTTCCATGCATATATTTTTTCAATGATATACCAAAACCTAAAGATTTAAGAAATGCCTATAAAAGTAAACATTTATTTAAGGTATGCTGAGTATGCTTTTTTGTTTATTAGGAATGTCTTCAAGACATGGGTGTGTGCTAATAATTAATGATAAGACTTAAGTAGGCTATGGGATCTAAATCAGTCCTTTTTTACCCATCTGATTAGGAGGAAATAATTGCGAATATCCCCTTAGAGGTATATAATAGATGACTTTTTATTACCAAAAAGGTTTTGCACATCGTTGAAGCAGTATTGTATCTATTTAGGAAATGGACTTCTACAAAAGCAAACAAAAGTAGGTTCCTCAGGTGACCAAACAGAAAATCACTATTTCCATGTTTCATTAATCAAGATATAAAATACAATTAAAGAAAAATATTTTACATTAAAATCTTGGCTTTGTATGGTTTTTTCAGAAGGAAAATACATAGGGGTGGAAATTACCAGTGATTATTTCTGTTTTTATTTCTCAAACCATCAAACCATGCAGTGTGTACAAATGTGGAATTGTAAACACATTTATGCCCAGAAAAGTCACTACTCCTAGTGTATCAGAACACATTTTGACATTTTTCATATCATATTCCTTTCTCTTGAAAATTCTGCAGTATATTAAAAACCTCATAAAAGACTTTCTCATTTAGAGCAATATAAATAAATATTTTCACTTTCATAGTGCATTATCATTTACTGGAGACTACAGTGAGTTATTCTGGAATTGTAAACTAGGCCAAATGACAGGCAGGGAGAGGAACCATCTACCTAAACATCAATGGCTCTCATGTTCAACTTCAAATGAAAGGTTTCTTTTCTAGACCTGAATGTACCTGCTGTTTCAGAAGGGACACTGTACAGTCAGGGTCCCTGAGGAAATAGATGACACACTCAAATTAGGATTACCTGAGAAGGGTTCCGTAAAAGGTGTTTTGTTTTGTTTTGAAGCAAAGGTGGCAGCAGATCTGTATGGAAACACTAAGCATAGCCAGGCTGCCACTGCACCCCTCATCCTGATGGGGTGAGGAAAGGAAGCAGTTACTAGAACACAGAGATGGGGAGGGCTTTGTGGGAAAGGAGGCCACTCCTCCAGAGCTGAGACTTTTGTGAAGGCCATCCTGCAGCAACCTGATAGGGAACTAGGAAAAACACCCCATCTCCTCTCTCCCACCCCAGTTCCCATCTGCCCTTCTGGGACACTGACCACAAGCGAGGGGACAAGGAAGCCCGGCGGCATGGTCCTACACGTTCTCCCCTGGTGTGCAGCAAGGAAGAGAAGGTAAAAAGCGGACCAGCCTCATCCTGGCTTCTCACTGATCCAGGTGGTCACTGTCAGTAGTCTCCAGTGTCCAGAGTGTTCAAGGAGCTGACAAAACAGCTTATGAATGACAAATGTGAGGGGAGGAAGGGTTTGGAGGCCGTGGATCTCAGGTACAAAATATAAAATGAGAAGAATAAGGCACCTTACTCCTCGGTGTTGGGGAACCCACCACTTGGGTTTACGCTGTGGGCAACACCTGTAAATGAAACATGCCAGCCATAAGCCATTGACGAAAACTTAACAGCAGACTTTTCACAGGACTGGTCAAATGAGTGAGAAGTTGAAGGAAAAGTATATTCAGTGGGAGCCAAAACAGCCATCTCCGGTTTGAAAATATTCACATTCAACAAAATTTTAGTGATTATAAATCACAGGGACCAACAAGGAACGAATTGTTACAGCAATTCTAGCTTTTCATTTTGGAGCCACGCTCTGATTTTATCGAAATTCTTATCCATCCAACGTATGTTTTCCTCAATGGTTTCGATTGTTTGCTGGACACAACGGAGCTGAGAACCATTTTCTTTCAAAGAGCTGAAGAATCCTTTTACCTTGAAAGAAAAAAAATACGTTTTAAATTTTTTCCTTTATTACATTATACAAATATAAGTTCAGGCTGGTTAAAGAAAACTGAAGCAAAAATTACAGCATTTGTCAAAATTCTGTGTGGAAGTCAGCGCCAGGTGTCTGGATACGATTATGTACACAAACTTAAGCTACGTGAAATGAACTCATGCCTCATGATGTCGTTTTGTGTGTTTTTCTCGGCAGCTTTTTAGTTTATTCACAGTTGCCAGATTCTGAAAGACTTCACTGTTTGCCACTTTATAATTAAGGTTTAATTGAGTGTGTCTATTTAGTGTGTATTCTGTTACATACACACAGATGCAAACTTAATTTTTTAAAACATATCTAAAAAGCAGAATGTACAGAGTGTCTTCCTTGCCAAGCAAAACAGTTTCAACCACATAAGTGGAGGCTTTCTTCATGGACCCGGCCTTGCATGTTATTACAGGAACACTGTGGGGGATGAGGTTCTTAGCAAGTTATGGTGATAATACCCCAAACTTTGCCAAGTTTTTGTTATCCTAATCCACAATTCAGGTGTTGTTCACTCAAGGTAAAACCCACACAAAGGTCCCCATGGCTTAAAAGAGATAAGAAACTCTTGGTTATGTCTTTGGGAATATCTTTGTTGTTTCATTGCTGAGTGTCTTTACCCCTTTGAGCTCACATGAGGAAGAGGCCGGTTTCGTCAAAGCGCTGATTGTGATGCTACTCTGTTTCACTTTAAAGGGTTCTTAACCTTTTGTCATAGATTTTCACAGCATTAATGGATTGATTTTTTTATTGTGTAAACAGGAAGCAAGTCTAGGCCAAGATGCATGGCTTCCAGACAGTTAATTCCTTTTAAAAAATCCATGTCATAATATCATATGAGTTTGAAAATGAGATGGGGTTAACAATGGGTTTTGAAGAAATCAGATTTCAATTTTAAATGATGCAAGGTAGTTTTATAATTAGGATATGCACTGCATATCCTACTGCAATCAGTGCAACTTCTCAACGAGCTTAGAGGCATGTCCCCCTGCACCCTAGAAAACACTTAATTCTGCTTCTCTGTCTGAAGTTGTAGCTCAACCTTTATTCATACTCTCAGAACTCAAGATTAATTGATATTCAATTAAAAATTAATCTGGGTGCACTTCAACAGTCAAAACATATCAAAAATTTTTACCAGTTAGTTAAATTGTCTAATCCTGAAGGAGCCCATCATGATAGTGCCACTAAAAAACAGACCTACGTGATTTGCAACAAAGCCAGTTGTTAACCCCAGCCCACAAATTTTTCCTGACCCCAAATTCTCTTTCCTATATTATCTGCCTTGGGGAATGCAGCATGTCTTCTGAGTATTTGATTCAAAACTGCTTCCTTGAGAATATCATCTGTGCAACAAGCAGCATGATATAGGAATAGAAAAACATCTGTTTGACCTTGAGCAAATAGTTAACTTCCCTGAGACTCTGTCACATTGTTAAATGAGGGTCATCTCTACACAGAGGTAAGGTAAGAATGTAGTTCTATAATGTGGATAAAGTGCAGAACTAAAACCCAACATGTATTGGGGACTCAACCTCACCATTTACTCATGGATATTTACACTGGTACTTAGTTACTGTGCTAGTACTGAGGATGAAGCAATGAGTCAGGCAAGCACCCTACGCTCGTGGAGCTTACATTCTACCTGGGAAGATAGGCAATAAACTACGACTATCATAAATATACTGCTATGAAAGTAACTGAGAAGGGGGTGACCTGCTGTACACAAGAGTGGCCTGGGAAGGTGACTTGAGCTGGAACCTCCAAAGGATAAAATGATTCTTTCCAGGGAAAAGTTGGAGAAAGAGAAAGCCAGACAGAGAAGAGAGTGCAGAGCCTTAGAGATGAGAGAAAGGGCTGAGTGGCGGGAATGTTGAGAGCGAGTGAACAAGGAGAGCAAGTGGGATTGGTGGGAGAGGCGCACAGGGG